CACGTTTTTCAACTTAGCTGATGGATTGCATCTCCGTCTGGCTTCTTTTTAGAGTACACGGTGTTATAGCCAAGCTTTGTCAAAAGTAAAATACTTTAGTTGTTTTCTTGAATGAGTGCCACTAACCTCGGTCAAGATTTTGAAAGTTTTCCAGGTAAACAACACATCATGTTCTGCTTATTGGAACGGATGCGAAAGTGAAAGAAAATCCACGTAGTTGTGTCAGGAAGATATTTAATTTTAGTAGCAGTTGTCACATTATCTTCAGAAAAAATAAGGATAAAATAAGTTTAGTATACATATAATAATGTATCCATAATGGAGGTTTTTGCGTTAGATCGCGTAAATATATGTCGTTAAAACCCGCCACCACCCGACGCAGCCAACTAGTAATTTAAATAACAGTGAAGAATAATACAAATTATAGTTATAGTTAACCCTAATCTGATGACGCTCTATGAGGATATAGTACTTCAAATATTATTGTAAGCAATGCTATTTAAAACAATAAAATGCACTTGTAATGGTTTGCAGTGGTAAACCATGATTTTTACTTCCAATTGAGTGTCCTCTTTATTCTGGTCCAAAAGAGCAAACCATTATAACACACTCCTGGCTTAAACATTTACTAATTAACATTTGTTTTCTTTACATTTGTTTAGTGTATTGAAAACTTTTGGTGAGACAGCCAACATGTATGCATTATTAAAAGCTGTTTTTATGTATACCTCAATGGCATTGATGTCAAGTATATCATTGTGAAACCGACAACACAGGCTGCTTTGAAATGCAATTTTAATTCAGGTTAAAGGAGGTTTTACAAAAAACAACACAAGTATATTGACTGTATTTTGGTTAGAGTTGTGGTTAGCGCATTGCACCGTGAAGCGGGTGACCTGCGTTGCACTGTCGGTCACGGAAAATATCGATCAGTGGCAATGATATCTCTCACTGACATCGTGAAGCATGTGGAGTGATGTTCAATGGATCACTTCGGCGCGTCGCGAACACACCGTGCAGTGCCACTCAGGGGGCCACTAGGGGCATGGTGCTGGGTGCGAGCAGGAGTAAGCATGACGAGTCCTACCGACAGAGTAGGGGATTGCAGCCTCCACCACAGAGGTCGCAACCGGGTACCCGATACCCGTACCCTACCCATTTTCGACCCTGGTGCGGCCGGGTACGGGCACGGGTAGGCCGTGAGTCACTGGTGAGTCACCGTTTGTCACTCATTTCAGGTAGGGTACGGGTACGGGTAGGCAGAACCGGCCCTAGACCTTTGGGGGCCCTATGCAAAATTTGGTTGGAGGCCCCTTTGATGTATGATTTTTTTCACCCACTCGATAGCAGTGACTCTAGGGGGCCCTCTGCTGGCCACGGGGCCCTTTGCAATTGCAAGGGTCGCTTAGTGGCTGGGCCGGCTCTGCGGGTAGGGAACGGGTACCCGTACCCGGCCAGGTACAGGTACCCATTTGCGACCCTGGTGCCGCTGGGTATGAGCACGGGTAAGGAATCAAAACCCGTTTGTGACCTCTGCTCCACCAGTGCCGCAGGGAATCACCACAGAGGGGGGCGCTGGATGAGTGCGGTGGGGGGCGGCTGGCGGTAGGGGCCATGTGGGAACGAGTCACCCTGGCACTGGGTTAAGCACGTGATGTGGGCCAAAGGTGAACGAGGGGGCACTGGGGGAGTAGCTGAGAATGTCTAGAGACATCATGAGACCTCCTTTGCCAGTATTAAATTATGATAATGGGGTTTTCTCCTTTCTGGCAATGAAACAGGTAGGCCTTGGCAAGGTAAAGTAATTTACCCTTTTTACCAGCCTCAACGCCCGATTTGAGAGTATTATATATGAATAAAGCGCTCTACCTAGCATTTACCTGTTATACACATGTTTCATGTGTAGTACCCCAGTAATTACCCTGTAATCGGGTAAAAGTAGGCTCGTTGCTTTTGACCTTTTACCTTACCTTGCTAAAGGGTAAAAGGTAAGGGTAGAGTGATTGTATTGTGGTAAGGTAAACGGTAGGGTAAAGGTAGGCTCGTTGTTTTTACCTTTTACCTTACCTTGCTGCGGTCTAAAAACAGGTGTTAAGATGTTAAAACACCAAACTGAAACCTTTTCAAGGATTCACGTCTGCATTAACCACATATACTTGTGGTGAACATGCAAACAAAAAAAACATGTTCTTGGTTCTTTCGGTAAAGTCACGTAGAAGGGAAGCTTCCCTTCTACGTGACTTTACCGAAAGAACCAAGAAGATGGATCCCTGCAGTCACGAAAGCTTTAAATCGAAAAAAAAAACATGCTCTGACAATATGTGCATTGTCTTTGAAACTGATTGGCTCACACCAGAGACAGCTTTGTTTAGAGCCTAGTCTCAAACAGTGTTAGACCATAAGACGCCACAAGGCGAACAGCACAAAGACAATGCACTATCAGGACATTGAGAGCTCGGGGTGAGCAGCTACATCATGATGCACACACTGTCAGAGCATGTTTTTTTTGTTTGCATGTTCACCACAATGATGTGGTTAATGCAGACATAATTCCTTGCAAAGGTTTCAGTTTGGTGTTTTAACATCTTCTTTTATTGCCAGAAAGGGGAAACCACTATTATCAACGTCTAGAGAGTTCCAGAAAGAGGCGTGGTTAAGTGCGGATCCAGAGAGGGAACAGGTGCGGTGTCACCTGGAACCGTCGGGAATATTCTGCACGTCTGGCGCGGCCGAGGGTGGAGCCAGGCCGCGCTGAGAGAGATTAAAGGGAAGCCCCGATCACAGATCCGGGCTGTCTGCAGGTGAAGTGGAACCCAAGCGCTATGTCTACGTCTTTGTCCCCGTCTTCGACATCGTGGGTCAGGCAGCGCGTTGGCTGCTCTGATCCGATTATAGTTATCCTGTATGCAAGAGAAATATGTGTATTGTGGTCCTATGCATAACAAGTGAGAATAGGTGTATTTAGTCCCGTGTGTGTAATGGTGTTGTGTAAAGTGTATAATAAACATTGCCTCCTAAATAGTAGTCAAACAGCCCCCCCACGAGCGTTTATCCAGCCGTAGATCGACAAGACTTGGCCTGGGGGGCAGCACAACGCAAGTGTGCGGAGGAGACACGTCCGGGGGGAATGCGGAGTCTGGAAGAACATGTAATGTTTTAACCTTTAGAGCATGTGGTTCATCATGCTCACCGAAAATGACATTGTGGTTCATAAACCAAAAAGCGTGTTATTAGCCTGTACCCAATAAAACACCGTAAAAGATGGTCCTCACTTTGTAGTTTCTATCTTCAGAGTTAATTATTGCAGCGTTGCGTGTCACTTAGTAATTCTATACTCAGCTGCTTTGTTACTCTTTAACGAGTAATTGCCAACAAGTTATGAATTCCTGGTATTAAATGGGGTTTAGATGTGTGCAGACAAAAGTTATAATTGAAAACCAAAGTGCATCGGTATATAATATTATTTTCAAACATTTGGTGACTGACCTGAAAATGTTCGTCAGTGACCATTCTTAATAGCGTTAGGAAGAAGTGCCATTGCCCGAAACGTTGCCGTTTATTTAATTTACCTTTAAAACCACAGTGTTGTTGACGAGTATGTGTTGAGTGTTTGGTAGCATGTGCTTGTCCACAGCTAACGAAGCATCACCAAACAATGAGTTTAACATGACAATGTGCTCTTTCTAAAATACTTCCTTGGTCTTTTTTTGGGATTCATAAGCAGCCAAAAACATCAGCAAATGACTGCACTGAGTATTCAAAATACATCGCTCAAAACACTGTCAAGATGTGTTACACCTCTGTTGATGAGCCCCAGAAGAGCCAAAGCAGTTGCAGAAATTTTGGAATTTGAGCAAAATTTTCTGGTTACTTCTGAAAAACGAATATATATATATTCTTTGGTTCTTTCAGTTAAGTCACGTCTAAAGATAAAATAATAAATTAAAATAATAGCATATTACGACGTTTCGATTGCAACACAAGCAATCATCATGTGATGTCTGTCTGCTTGTATGTCTGTCTATAGTTTTCTAGTTAGATTTTTGATTGCTTGTGTTGCAATCGAAACGTCGTAATATGCTATTATTTTAATTTATTATTTTATCTTTAGACGTGACTTAACCGAAAGAACCAAAGAATAATTCCTGCAGTCACGAAAGCTCCAAAATTAAGATTGAATATATATCTCTCTCTATGTATGTATGTAAGTGTAGATACATGAGCATTAAAGTTATTTATGTAATTTGCTACCAAATGTTAAAAGCCACCACGGGTAAGACCTCTGGGCTATGTATGTTGCACTTTATTCGCACCGTACGTAGCCAATGGGGTTGTGTAAGAAGTACTTAACTTTGTATGTGGAGAGACAGTTACGTGAAAAGAGATGTTGCCTGCTGGATCAGCAGAGACGGGAATCGTGTTAACTCGGGCTCGAGTTCCTTAGCATTGGAGAAACTAAGCAAACGAAGTCAAATGCTGTGCAGCTATGACATCAAGTGCAGTTTCGCGCAAATTACTTAGACAGCAATTTAAGTAATCTAATTCAAATGCAATTGGACACAGATTCCTTCAAAAACGAAGTTTACCTAATATGGATTACAAAGTCTAATTAAAACAATAAGTCTAAGTAATACATTACAAGCAAAGCGCAGATTGGTGGTGTATGAATGGGGTGTACTTTTGCATTTTCACACACGTTGGGGTACAGCCATTTGTTAATCCACTGCTGGATGAGGGTCTTCCCATACTGGACAGGTCGCGGGGGTTATATGCCCATACATCACTCGACTGCTCAGATGTTGGGAGCATAGACATGCGGTACAACAGTGTAATTTGACGCTCTCTCCTCTGCTTACCACGTAGCTGCCCCACAGCAGCCTATAACACCCTGCTGTGCATGGAGATCACCCATCCAATCAATGCCCAGGCTCAACCCAGCTAGCTTAGCTTCCGAGATCGGACAACAGGCACATTGCAAGTGATTTGGTCTGAGGCCCGTATGTTCAACGTAGAGTTTTATTCATTCCCTGACAGTGCTCACGGTGTCCAAGCAAAACATCATTGGACTAAACAGAGTAACTTCCTTTAAAGTTTCACTTCAGTGTACGTGGTGTATACACTTAACTGCCAATAAAGTCACTTTGATGAGTAACGTAAGATTAACTATTATGAGAGTATAGTGAACTGTTAATTATCTTAACGACCATATATTTGTTTCATCTTGGCTTCAGTGCCATGGCAAAGGGATTACAGTCTTGCTTTACATTTATAAGACATGGTTACCAAGTAAAAATTTAGAAAACAAAACAATATTTACTCTTTGGTTCTTTCGGTAAAGTCACGTAGAAAGAAATTAAATTAAATAATTGAATACGACGTTTCGATTGCAACACAAGCAGGCGTCATCAGGTATTAATTAAATTTGAGAGACAAAACACAGACACGGAGACACACAGACAGACGCTCAAGTCTATGTTGTGTGCCTCTCTCTGTCTGTGTTGTCTCTCTCTGCTTGTGTGTCTGTCTGTGTGTCTACGTGTCTGTGTTTTGTCTCTCTCTCATAGCCTTGAGATACAAGGATCCCTCTGCATGAGCTTATTTGATCGCTTCATCTCCACAGTGGGCATCTTCTCGGGCATGTTATTTTCTCCTTTTAGTCCCCACTAACCATTATCACCCCTTATAGTGAATGTGCCCTGAGTAATATAATGACGGGATAATGCAAATAACTCTGGAGATCCTGGTTCTTTAAACAAAAAAACTTCCTTCCAAGTGCTTATCTTGAATGAAAAATTGTGTGTAGTCTAAATTGAGCGAGACAATACGACCGAGGCTGATGGATAACCCCAAATGTGAAAATGGAGAGCCTCGGCAGACATGTTGAACATTGCCTGAGTGACAACACCAGCTCTTGGCTGCAGCTTTGCGGTAACAAGCTACACGTGAATGCTTTTATGAACTTGTTTTTTTTAACTGTAAATGCGACTTTACTCTGCGGAGGTTTTCTATGAAATCATGAAGACAAAAATGTGCTTCTTACGAAATGTATTACATAACACATCAATGGGTAAAAAAAAAACACGTAGAAGATTACTGCAGTAGCTTTCGGTGTATCAATAATGTCTGTCAAAAGCAATCGATACAATCTAGTTAAGCATAGTGAAGAGACACAACTGAGCCCTTCCATATCTATGTCACCATCGATGCTTACGTCATACATTTCACACGAGACATTTCAACACGGGGTCACTAAAGTAATATACAGTATTAAAGTAGACAGATGAAAGCGAAAATTATTCAAGCGGATACAACTGAAATTTTCTCAGTGTCAGTGAGCGATTTAAGTAATATGTGGCTCGTTTCTAGAACTAATAGTAAATAACATTTTGGTTGACTTTGGACTCGAACCAGCTGCTGATTCTTTTCTCATTTTGGTCCCTCCACTGGATGTTGGTCTTGGTCCTCTCAATGGCCTGTTCCATGGTGGCCGCAGCTGAACCCAGGTTGGGATGTGCCACCTTAAATTGCAGGAGCTGATGATACAAAGTATAAAATGCCTTTTGAATTTCATGGAAATAAATGCATGCCTTCATTCATCCATGTGCTCAGGAATCATAATTCGGCTGTTAAGTTCTGCCTAGCAAAACAATATTCACAATAAAATACAATTATCTAAATAATACATATGATTGTGGCTTTTTTTCCATTGCAGCAATTGTTTGCTGCTTGTGTGTGTATGTGGGCTTACACTTGGATATCATAGCTAACATCAGTGTTTAATGATTTCTGAACCAGTCTTGGGCACGCCCTTCACCAACACACTCTGACAAACATGGTGAAGTATGGTCAACCAACCCCCATGACCAACACGGTTTGTGGGGAGCTATTACATCAAGCGGTAGCTTGACTAGAGGGCTGTAAATAATTACGATGAACTTGACATAGTGTCATGAAAGCGCATGCAGATTTATGGTACAACAAAAAAAACCTTGCATGTTAAGTATATATTTAGACAATAAGCTTTCCAAGCGCATAGTTTGTCAGTACTCTACATTCCACGAGTAAATGAACAGAGCCGACTAACAACCATCAGCACCGCTCTGCTCTTGCGGTCCCAAATAAGGGCTTCAAAACATTGAACTTTGGATCGAGAAAGGGTCGTGGACCTTTCCATGAGTCAAACAGACCAGGGCAGACCACGGATGTTTATTGCTAAAGTAAAGCTGGAACCAGATCCACTTGCCTCGTCGAGGTCGGCCTGCGTGCTGAAATGCCTCGTGACGCCCGTAATTAAGTTTGAGAAAGAGAAGAACCCAGAGCCATATCTGTAAAACATCATGGGTCGACAATTAGGAGACAAAGGCTGCAGTAATCCGGATTCATAAAACAACACACGCTATGCAAGCATCAAAGCACGAAGAAGACATCTTAAGACTTTGTACGGACTCATAAACAAGCTAACTTACAAAAGGGTGAAACAAAGTATGAACATGTATGCGCACAACACAGAAAGTATATGCAAATGAATAATTACTGGATATCTTCTAACGGTAAACAGAGGCAATGTAGTTTAACATTCAAGCATGATATAAAAGTAGGTTTTGAAGGCGTGCGAGACTCCGCAGTATAGAAAGGGAAATGTTCTAGGAAACTTCAGCAGAAAAGGAGAATTAATAACCTAATGCCAACACAGTTTCCCAAGTTTGTACAGGTAAACACATCCTGCACCTATATTAATTACAAATACTGGAATCTGTACACAACTTAAACGTAATTTTGTGAGTCTAAAATATCACCTCAATCTCAATACTGAGAATCGTGTCATCATTTTGTGACGTAATTTGTAAGTACACTTTAAGCATGCAGTAAATATGAATTAAAACATGTGTGGGTACTTACTGGTTGAAAATGAAGTCCCATTTCTCTTTGACGAAACTCCACGCCAGAGGCTGCCCAATGACATTCCGGGCCACCGACGTAATGACACTTGTGGCATCCTGCTTCCTGATGAAGGCTGAATCTAAAGCATACTCCAGGAGCCTGTCAATCAACATGCACCCCCCCCCCCCATCCACAACAATAATTTGTGAGAGTGAACATTCACGTAGCATAAGTAGAGGTGAACATCTGCAAGGGGTTGTGGCGAAGTGAGGCCAAGCAAGGGCTTTACCGTCTGAGGATCCAGGGCTCGGTGCTGCAGGCCAATGCTGATCTCAGCTTCTCCTTCTCCACAGGGAAGGTAGTCTCTTGGAAAAGCTTGAAAGCGAAGTCCCATTCCAAAATACTACCAGCTGCCAGGGCTTGGCAGTATACCACCGTGCGAAGGTTCGGGTGAATTCTTAAAACACAACGGGGTTTTTTAAAATAAATAAGCATTAGTATTAGATTACTGAACTGCCCAGGCAATGATACAGTTGTGCAGAATCAGAATATTTATTTATCCTGGAGAAATCCGATGAGCTATGAAGCTTTTTTCACAAATGCTTAATCTTCCCCAACCATCCAAATGTATACCCCCAACATTATCGACCGTGATGTTTTCCTCGTGTGTTCATTTGTGTTGTTGCAGGTGTGAAAATAAAGTAAATAAAATGAGATTGCCTTGCGAAAACTTCAATATACCCGTATTGCGTGTCCTCGTTTTTTATGAAAAGCCCTGTTGTTCTATAACGAGTTATCGGTATTCGCTCAATTGAGGGACAAAGAGCCTTTTATCATGACAGTAAATTTACCCGTGACACTTAATACAATTCTACGTGCACTTACACATTGCTTGATTTATTTTCCATCCACTTCTGGAATATTGTCAAGGCACTTTCTAGACATTCTCGCTTGCCATACCCACAAGCCGTGTTTACAGCGTACACCTGCATATACCTGGAACACATCAGAGAATTCTTGTTAATCTCACCATTGACATGTTGTGCTGAAGCAAAATGTTGCGCAATTCAAACTCATGAGATATATTTACAATACTCACTGGTCCATGTGGCCATTGGGAACAAAACTGAGGTTTTTGTGTATCTGATAAACATTTTCTATTTGCTTTAACATGTATTTCTGTAAAGAGAAGACAACATATGATGTAACAAATCATCGTTGGAGACACTTTGACGGAAGCACTATCACATCGTCACACGTCCCTTCCCTTATTTTTGTATTTACACATTTCACACAATTCAATTTAACATCAAAAGAGGATTAGTATTGAATGATGCGTGATCAATAGGTGCGCCTGTTTTTTTCTTGCCTGGATACTCCCGTAGTATTTGGAGGTGGAGAACATCTGGTTGATGTATCCGAGGTTGTTGAGGGCTGTTCTCCAGGGAACATATTCATCTTCCTTTTCCAAATACACAGTGGTCTCCAATGCTTTCTCAATAGCCACCGTTGCAGCTCTGATTTAGACAACGAATGTCATTTTAGTCTTTCGTCTGAAGTGCTCTTATACAGCTATGCAAGCATCACAGTCAATGAAAGTCATGATATTCGGCTGTCTTTTTTTTTATCGTATGATCTTTCAGCACTGCGGTTAGTGTGTAAGATTTTAGGTTTTATCCAATCACAGTGCTTAAAGAAATAATAAGAAACGTTCAGAGTTTTATTTATTTATTAACGTTTTTAAAATACAAATTGTACATTTAATATTCACGTTACATTTTCACGTGTTTTCAGCTTAAGCAAGGAACACAATTCCGTGCAAAACAGTAAACCTTGTATCAATTGTTCAGTGGAGTTTGCTGCATAGGTTCACAATTTTCCAAACAGCTGCAGCATACTTTCTGTACAACAAAGTCGTGTCTGTTATCAGTTTCTTATATGTTTGCAATGACAAATACTTGCCAAGCTCGGCTGAATCTCTCCCAGACTCACTACCCACTGCTGCCAGAAACACCCATTACACTGCACATTATTGCTCATGGGGTAGTCATTTTAGTTTAATGTTCACTATCAAAAATTTTGGTCAGTAGCAGTGCCGGATTATTCTAGTAGCATATGTAGCATATGTTACCGACCCCGCACTTTCAAGGGCCCCACAATAAATGTTTTCAAGCTATCAATTCCGGTTTAGTGATTCTGCACTTGCTCTACTACGATAGTACTATACTACCTTCAACTTTTATGAACGACTGGGTGTTTAAGGTTAGCGATTTGTCATATTATTTGGATGTATAGCAAGTGAAAAAATACGATTACTTTATTGTGCAAGTAAAATCATTGTCTTTTAATATTTATGTGATTTTTTAATTTAGGGCCCCTTTATAACTTATTCTGCAGGCCCCGCACTGGCTTAGTCCGGCACTGGTCAGTAGAGTGGTGTGTAAACCGTTGAATGTAAAAATGTCAGATGTTAAACGTAGCTAAAAGAAAATGTGCAAGGCCGAAATTAAATTCTCAATTATAAATACTCTATCCAAAATATATAAATACTTTACGTGGCAAGGCTGAATGTGTCATCAATAAGCTGAGCTCGATTTTGAAGTGGTATAGCCTGCAGGAATAAAAGGAGACATGGAGGCATTAATAAAATAACAAACATGAACGGTGGAAAATTGTGTCACCATCATAGTCATAAAGAATAAATGTTTTTAAAATCAACAGTTTCATGTAACTTTTATCAGGAGCTCTCATGGTCAGCTGTGTTGCTTGCTTGCACCACTCCTGGCAAAATAACCTCCATTCGAGGGAATTCTACAGAGCTTCATTAGAATGCATTTTGGCCTACTCCTCCACACTTCAAATTCAAGACCGTAATTTAATATATATAAACACATATATAAATATACACGGTGTAAAATAACCAAAACAATAGTTGTTAGTTTGCTATCCCAATATAACTCAAGCTTGTGTTCACTGTTGTGCAAAACAATAATGGTTTCATGAATGGCTATGCAGATTAGAGAGTGGTGAAATAGAGCTTTAGTCTTCTTGGTTCTTTCGGTAAAGTCACGTAGAAGGGAAATAATAGATTAATAAAAAGTAAAACTTAATAAAATTAAATTCTCACGACGTTTCGGCCACAACTTGCGTTGTTATGTTTTATTTATTTTATTTCATTATTTCCCTTCTACGCGACTTTACCGAAAGAACCAAGAAGATCAATCCCTGCAGTCACGAAAGCTTTAAATCGAAATTTAGAGCTTTAGTATTTGCGCCATTGGATCTGCGTGGTTAATGGAGTTGTGGGGAAGCCGAAAGACTCCATGCTGATTGGATATCCTTGGCTTCGGAGCCCCATCGCGAATGATTATTGAAACGTGGCACGAGTTTATCTCGGAACACTTACAGAATGGTTCAGGTTGAGTTGATTCAGTAGGTGCTGGAAATTGACATCATCATAGTGCACACGGTAGTATCCCATCGCTTCCACGTTTAGGATCACCCATGACGTAGGATGCGCAAGATCTGAGAACACCTCTGCAAACACCAGCATGATCAACCACACAGGATTAGGCATATTCATGATTTAAACGTGTGCCATCCGACAAGTGTAATCGATATTTTAAAAGTTACTGATAGGAAAAATGGACCAAAGAAAATACATTTGAGTTCAGGGGCCTAATTTTTTCGCTATTTTGGATGCCATTGTCCCTTTTTGGGAGCACTAACAGCCGTGTTCAGACAAAATCACGAATAGTGCGTAGGGGGCCATCCATATATGACGTCATGCGATTTTGGACGATTTTTGACTCCCCCCCCTTCGTCACAAGGCGTCACAAAAAGTCAGACCCCCCCCCCCTCAAATATGACGTCACAAAGCTCTGCCCCCCGCCCCCCAAATCGCTTTAAACTACAGTATTGTCATTGTAGTGCGTATTTAATGTGGCGCTGCACTCTGATGTTGTAGGAAAAAAACATTTATTAAAACGTCAATTTAATTAAGTAAGTCAATTTAATTAAGTCTACATTTATTTAAAGTTGCACATTTTGATGTGACGTCACATTTCCCCTCGTCACACATCGTCACAAATGTCTGACCCCCCCCAGGTCCGTGACGTAATTTATGGATGGCCCCTAGCTTGCACTTCATGCGCAGCCGATCCAGAATAAAAATGTATCCACTCTGACCCTTCTGTTGTTACAACTGGGGGATAAACCAGAGTGGGCAGGGTTATGGTGGAATAGAGCAGATCAAAACGATGGTAGAGAAGTTGACATGCGAACGCAGACACTCGCTGTTCAATTATGCAGGAACGTATCTGCCATCACGCAGAATGACATTAGACAAATCTTTGAGGGTGTGGCTTATGTGCGGAGTGCTTTATTTTTAAATCCTTTATATTAAGTTCACTTGCTTGCTTGCGTGCTTGCTTGCTTGCTTAGGACCGTGCAAATCTTTCGGTCGTTTTTTAACCCACTTCCCGTGATCCAATCGAGCTGACATTTTCCACACAGACTCGTTGTGCGTGACAATAAATGTTCATGAAATTTTTTTCCCAAAATTTTACACTTTTTAGGACAAAAATATTATATTTAATTACCAATTGCTTAATGGTGCAATGCAATCATCTGACCCATAGGTGGCAGCCATCTCAAGCCAGAGGACGAGAGGACTCTAGCCGCCACGCATATAAATGATTTATAGTGAAAAACTTTGTTTTTACTGGTTATACTTATTGTTAACCAGCTAAGACCCACTCGAGCTATATAGCTATTTTTCAGACGCGACCTAGCCACAAATGATCGCTCAACAAATTGGCTTCTTCGTGTGCAAATTTATAGCAGCCAAACCATCAACACAGCAACTGCCACACACACATTAACATTTGCGTGTTCAATTGTGAAATGGACAGAGTCTCTGATTGATCAGCTCGGTCCGTCGGGCAGGGAAAGCGTGTCGATGTAGCAAAAGCCAAAGATCCCCCGTGTAGCCTTGACAGACTGTAAGGGCAAGTGGTGTTAGCGAGCACCTATAAAGGCCGGCACGGCACACGAGGGGGTGGGTGGCCAACACCACGCCTGGCCGCCTTTGTCTCCCCAGCGACGATGTTTACACGCCACGCCAGCTACTTATTTGAGGCTGAGTCGACCTAGGGGAGGCCCAGGTACCAGTTTAGATAACCGTCACCGGTGTTGGCCGTGAGCGGGAATCGACCCCGGGTCGCCGGGTTCGTAGAGCAGCGTAGCGTTAACCACTACGCCACCGCTCCCTGCTATCGATGTAGCACACACACACACGTGCGTGTACGTACGATACTGACTCCCCGTCCGCACTCTTTCGGCTACCAATTGTCTGCGGAGTTTATTTGGGCACCGCCAATACGATCCACTTACAGCTGGTCCGAGTCAAAAACACTGCTTCGTGAATTAGGCTGGAGGAAAAAAAGTGAAAGCAACCTCTACACGAATCAGACGCGATGTCTTCAATCACCGTGTGATGTGTATTCTGTTGGCAAGCAACGTGAACCGACAACACTGAGGTGCAATCATTCCATACCCTCTTCTTGATTTAGCCATTTGATTGAGGAAACATGAGTTGACGTCTTCCACGTGATGGGTATGTACCAAACGTAGCTGCATAAAAAGAAAGAAACAAAAAGTGCAGGTTAACACAATGCTTACACTGTAGATGGCCATAAACATTTGGATGATAAGTATATGTCCCGAGTCTTTAATGCTATAAAAACAACAGCGGACATTAACATTTAGCGAGAGCAGTTAATGTGTTGTGGCGATGGCACCAAACAGGTAAAACTAGGTCGGCAGGGGTATTTGCGTGAAATAATATCGTAATAAGTTCTCCCCAAAAAAATTACTTGAATTTCGATTTAAATCTTTCGTGACTGCAGGGATTCATCTTCTTGTTTTTTTCGGTAAAGTCACGTAGAAGGGAAATAATAAAATCATATAAATAAATCATAATAAACAATTCTCACGACGTTTCGGCCACAACGCAAGCAGCCGTCCTCAGGTGAAGAACAGGTCTGTCGGGAAGACAGCCATTCAGACGCTGTCTCCCCGACAGACCTGTTCTTCACCTGAGGACGGCTGCTTGCGTTGTGGCCGAAACGTCGTGATAATTATTTTATTATGTTTTATTATTTTCTTATTTACCTTCTACGTGACTTTACCGAAAGAACCAAGAAGAAAAATTACTTGAACTCAGATGGTCGGGTGACGGTGCTGTTGGGATTCAGCAGGAAGTGGGACTGAGTCAGCTTCCCAGAGGACGTGTCCACGTGCACCACTGGGTAACCCATTTGAATTGTCCAGCGGTCCAAAATGTCCTTGACAGGCACTGGAAGAGTCACCGTGTGATTGTCCACCGCCTATAAGGAATGCAATGATATTGGGGAGGGGGGGGGGTTAGTTCAACATCTTGTCATTGTTTTCTGCGCATGAAACAAAAATGTAATGCATTTCCACACCCAAATAATTGAAGTACAAATTAAGTCCTTTATTTTTGTTTGAGTTTTTTTTATTGGTGCCATTTCTTAATTTTCTTGTTATTTTTAGATTGTGCTTGCTAGTGGCTGTATATGGGATTTGGTCCTTATACAGTATATCATTAATGTATAGCGTTTTGAGTTGCTATGAGCATGAATGACGCTATATAAAATGAAAGTAGTATTATTGTCCTACATTTAATATGTAAATCATGAAAAGAACCCATGAGGATGTACAAAATATTGTACCTTAAATGTTTGTTTTATTGCATGGTACTATATTATATATTTTACAGTTTTCTTATAGTAGTACTTTTATTCCTATGAGTATCATTGGTGTATTCGTGGCATTACTTAATTTTCATGTTTATATATATTCTTACCCACTGCAGATGTCTCGACAAGTCTTCGTGTACCGCATTTCCAAATTCCAGTTCCTTCAGGTATGACTGATTTGAAGGAATTAAAATAAGATGTAAGTTAAATGACGTAGTTATGGTAAAATGATGTCACACTCTACATAAATGTGAATTGTTTCATGAAGTAAAATTGGTTTACCTTAAGACCATCTACAAACACCGGCTCAGTCAGAAAGCTGGAAGTCATGCTCAGGATACATGCACCCTACAAGATAAGGAGGAAACGATTTTAATGAACCTTCATAGTGACATCAGTTATTGTCGATTTGTAATCATTGATGCTATTTTCGTCATCACAATCTGAATCGTGAGTCGGGCACAGGAGGTGAGGTTTGGGTGGACCGCACACATTTGTCGAGCCCACTGGGTTATGAGATGGCCAGGAAATGTCAGTGCAGCAAGTGGTTTTAATTAATCTGTGCAGAGCTTTGAGTGTAATCCCCTGGCATACATGTTGTATTGGGGACTGCAGTTTTATTTCACATGCCAAACACTCACTAATGGTTTTGGCCAAACACACCAATACTGGATCCTCCTGAAAAATGTCTTAAGACTCAGTGAGGCATTCCTGGATAAAAAAGGACACGGTTGTATTAATATTTATTATTTACCAAGTATGTCATTATATTATTAGGCTCATAATGACTATATAGATATCTATGAATGTATATGTTCGTGTGATACTGCATTGGTAGCAATTCACATTGCCTATTACGTATACTTCTTTTTGGCAGTGTCATTGACAAATATGTTCAGTATATTAATGTCTTTCCCCACAAACGTAGTAATGCCCTCTGTGTACTGGTCACCTTGCTGTAAGAGATGGTGTCGAACATGGAGTTTGCCTGAGCCGGAGTCATAACTTCACTGTGTGGAACGGAGAGTGGGCGAGATGATGCAAGAGCATCCACGCTCATGGCTCGCTGCAGGTCGTTCAATATGATCAATGCTTTCTGTTCATAGTGAGAAACGTCACGCAGAACTGTCACATGAATGAGGTCAAAGCTCTCATCCGGAATAAACACCCCATTCATCGCACCTTCTGGCTTTGACATTCCTCAAAGAACATTTATGTGAGATCGACCGCATCAGAACATCGACAGGCTGACGCGCACATTGTCATCGTCAATGGAACGCGAGAGACAGGCCTCGCGAGGGTGATCGTGGCCATGCAATCCAAACTATGGACCATATCGTAAACCATTGTAGCATGTGATCCTTCAGTGGAGGAATAACAAAAAATACAAATTATATCCGGGAGCTTTCACGTGGCTATTGGTGTGTAGCTCCTGAACATGCTGCCATAAGAAAGAATAAAATTAGTAATGTGTAGTTTTGGCCTAATATTATACAAATACTGTACGTACCAAGCAACTGTTAGGTGTGTGATAACACTGGAAAGTAAATAGCCTCAGGTCGATATGTAATACTTAAAATGCTCAAAGAGTTTGGTATAAAATGGAAATTTGCTTGGTATTCGTATGACTGTACAGCATCTATGGAACACTTTTTTTACATTGTAAAAAGATAAATCACGATCTGAAAGAAGAAGGCTTTACCCCTTCTGGCATGAATACAGGTGCGAAGATGTTCAAGCACCAAATAGACACTTATGCGGCATCAAGTCTATATTAACCACACATATTTATGGCAAAACATTAAAACAAATATGCTTTGTTAATGTAGGTACTGTTCTTGAAACTGATTATAGAATCATATTTGTTTGCTTGTTTTACCAGAAGTATGTTAAGAAAGACTTGATGCCATCTAATATGTGTCTTGTTGGTGTTTGAAGTATCTTAAAACCTGTAACTTTTGCCAGAAAGTGTAAAGTATATATTTTTTATCATTCAACATTAGTAAGACTACGTTGACAGGACAAGAACCATAAAACATGTACTTTTACAACCACTGTTAAAGTCATGAATATAGTTGAAGTTAATGTATATTTCGATATTCATGAGTGTCACAATACACGAGTTAAGCAATCATCTTTCTTTTATTTTAACTTCACAGCTGATAGTTTGGACCTCCACTCCACAAGCAACCCGTTAATGTAAAACCAGGGTGCGTAATCCCGACTGTTATTCCTTTTTAAATCCTTTATATTAAGTTCGCTTGCTTGCTTGCGTGCTTGCGTGCTTGCGTGCTTGCTTGCTTGCTTAGGACCGTGCAAATCTTTCGGTCGTTTTTTAACCCACTTCCCGTGATCCAATCGAGCTGACATTTTGCACACAGACTCGTTGTGCGAGACAATTAATGTTTGTGAAAAAAAATTCCAAAATTTTACACTGTTTATGGAAAACAAATTTAATATTTAATTACCAATTGCTTAATACTGGCAGACAATCATCTGACCCATAGGTGGCAGCCATCTCAAGCCAGAGGACGAGAGGACTCTAGCCGCCACGCATAGAAAGGATTTATAGTGAAAAACTTTGTTTTTACGGGTTATACTTATTACGTACCATGTTCCAGCTGGGCTCCACCTCGTGCGTGCCGATGTATTCCAGGTAGCTTGCGAATCCCTCGTTGAGCCACAGCTCAGTCCACCACCGCATCGTGACGAGATTCCCAAACCACTGCGTGTAACGTGGGGGCAATGACGGGGAAATTGACAACAATGCAGTTGGCCATTTGCAAAATAAATCGGCATGGGATAATAAGCAAGCCAATATTTTTGGCGTTAACAAACGCTGTAAAATAACGGCATGTTTTTGTTTGTTTTACGTCATATATAAATGTTTGTGGCTTCATTTGTGCGAGCTTGTTTGACTGCATCAACTATTACTTCGGCTTTATTAGATTTTACGAGCCTAGATTTCACGAGCAAACGTGAACAACTGCGGTCGCCTTTCTTGACGCGAAGTTCGCTGCGAAAAACTGCGACTTCCCGGGTCGCCCGTGCGCTCTGACCTGATGAGCAAGCTCATGGGTGATGATGGTGGCCACACTCTCCTTGTTTCCATTCGATGACACGTCGGGGTCGTAGAGGAGAGCCGTTTCCCTGTAGGTCACCAGACCCCAATTCTCCATGGCACCGGCAGCAAAGTCCGGAATAGCAATTTGATCTAAGCGCCGCCAAGCCACGCATGTGAAAGTGCATTGTTATTTTTTTGGTAGCGATATTCTACTATAAATATCTCGTGACCGCACCGTGATTTATAAAATTCATATTTTCGCACGTTGCTTTGTTAAGCGCATTTAAGGTTTCACCGTACCTGACTTTGGAAGGACATACGGCACATCGTAGTAATCTTCAAAGAAGTTGAGTATCTTCCCAGTTATATTTAACGCATATTCGGCATTTCCTGCAGCAATTTCAGTTTTCTTTGCCCAAATGCGTATCTGCAAATGTGCGAATTGTTAAATATCTGCCAAACAACACGGGTCACCTTTAATAATACAATACAGTTGTGATTACTCACTTGAGTATTCTTTGCCATTACTTCCACTTTGTCAAAGTCACTGATTATAAAAGCAAGAAGATATGTTGGCATGACCACTGATGTGTTGAACTTCGTGTGGACCCAGTCGTCTTCCTCTGTCCTTGCTGTGGACATATATTCACAGAATTGATTAAACAGCATACTCATTACAGCAGTGACCCAGGTATGCTGTAAAGAGAGAAAACAAAAGTACACACGTATGTATGAATGCATTTGCAGAGAGGTTAGAATGGGTGGTCTATGTAGACCCCGTTACATGTGGATGTGCATGATTACTGCTGGATGAGAAACTCCCTATGCCTTGTTTGCATGTGGGAATCATTTATCGATACATGTACTTGAACACGCTGGTTAGTGCAGGCTGGTGAAGACGAGAAACCTTGATGTTGAATAATGAATGTTCTGCACTGCCCTCTGCTATCCACCATGTAGCCCTGCAGCCTATAACACCTTGTTGTGCATGCTGGTCACACTTCCTAAGACGATTCGTGCTCAATCCTGCTTGGCTGCTAATATCTGACAATATTGGGCATATTCTGGTTGATGTAAACCTGGGAACCCATTGTAATATACATTAAAACCAAATACGTTCATGAGAATCAATTTCGTCAATTACAATTTTAGTTTTTAGTAGGTTGGTAAAAAAATAATGTCATTGAAAATACTGCTGAATGTCCTTGCACTAGTAATAGTAAACTAGTTTTCATGCAGCCATAACTTGAGAATATCTGGCTACACGTTTAGAAGAGAGTGGGATTGCCATCACTGGAATGCAGATAGACTTACAAGATAGACTTACAAGATAGACTTACCAACAACAGGCATATTGGACAAAGCAACATGTTCAGCTTTGTGAATCAAGGTGATGTCAAATGTGGCTTTCATGTCAGGCTCATCGAAGCAGGGAAATGTTTTTCTGGCATCTGTCGGTTCCATCTGTGAAGTTGCCATAATCCTAGATGAAAAGGCAAAAAAAAAGTTAATTAATGAACGTTACAAACTAAAGAAAATGAAAATATTCGTCTGCAAGTGAACCAAAACAGTGCTACTAGAATGCTAAGACACCACAGATTCCAAAGAACACAGGATGAGATGTTATTATCCTTTGTGCAAGCACGTCCAAGAGTTCATGAACAGTGAGCCTGGTGAAATTTGGGGACCGCATCGTCAGTAGTGAACCTTTGGGTCCTAGGGTGTTTCGGCCTTTCATACTATACACCCTCCCCAAAGGCGGCCAGCGACAGGGTGATCAATCCTACGCTTGCGTCCCATTCCCAATTAGTCATAGGAGTTGCCTTGTTGTTGATAGCCAACATCCCAAACTTTCATTGAGAAGTCACATCACTCAGTATTTTTTGTCAAGAAAAAACCAGCATGAAGAGAAAAATATAAAAAAAGAACAGAGTCTGTGACTTACTTGGTTTCATTGTTCTCCGTGTATTCACTTCGATACAAACCAGCCAGATCATCGGCAAGCTCGCCCCTGAATTTTGCGTGAAGAACATATTCCATGCCCCTCTCAAGTTTCGCCCCGATCAACTGCACCACCAGATATTCGGTTTTCGTTGCGAGCCACGTGTTGACGGCCATTACTCCGTTTGGTCCGGAGAGTGAGATATTATCATTGTCCGAGTAGTTGAGCTTGTTGCTGTGAATCAGGATAACGTCAGTCTGCTCCTCGCATTTCATGGTGATATTCACGTGGCCACTGAAGATATAAAGACCATCCGGCTGTTTGTAAAGTTCAGGCTTGAGCTCCACTTCATAATGCGTTGGGATTACGTTTCTTGGCAGACGGTACTCATTCCAAGGACCGGGGGGATATGGAGGTGCCGTTGTGGTGGACGGTTTGGTTGTGAGCGGTTTGGATGTAGTTTTTGGATCACTGCTGACACTATCTTTTCCAATTAGACCAGCCATGAGGCCAACTACCACTAAGGCCACTGCTACTGCCAAGGCAATAACAATGGCTTTAGTTTTGCTGATATGAATTCCCTTCCCCATTGTGAACAAGAATGCACCTTCTGTGGCTATCGACTTTCCTTATATCGAGCAAGAAAGTGAGACATTAACCATGCCAGTCATCCAAGGCTATTAATGGATGACAGTTCACAAGCATCGTAGGTATATAAATGTTTATCACCACAAAATACAGCTACAATATGTTTCAATTGCTTCAGTTCAAGGCATTCTTGCATGTGATAGCTAATACACATGTATGTCAGTTTTAAAACTGAGGCCATAGAGGCCATTATACAAAACGTCACCTATTATATATAAAAAAATCCTCTTAAGGCAGTGTGATAGACGAATTTGTTTAGTTCGTTAAGATAAGATGATATTGCTGTGACTCACTGTTTTCGGTACATGAATTGAAATAGAAGTTGCACATTGTATTGTAAAAATAAACACGCTTAAACGTGAAGCATTTGCTAAATAACACAAGAGCACATTTTCTCCACCAGCTTGTTCAAAAAATGTTAAACTTTATACACAATAACATGTTGGTATATATACAATTAATAGAGAGATCACTGATTATATTTAGAAGCTTTAAAAGAAATTTAATTGTTTGGAATGTCCTCCTTTTTTACATTCCTTCCAGCACCTGACAAACACAAAGTCATGGTCACTGGAGTGGATAGTGGTCACGTGCTGCAGGCAGCACTGCGACACAAAATCATGACCTCGAAATGCAATGGCACCCTCTTGCGACCACTTATAGATTTTCCCACTGCTGACTTCAATAATTGCCTCGGGTTTAACTCACTGAGGCCATCAAATGGCATAAACTTGCGTTGCAACACAATGTATTTTTTTAATGGAGGTTTTACCATTCGACAATAATATTTATATTTTAAAAAGTTTTGCTGACCGGCATGGCGGGATTGACAGACGGACGGTCACATCCAAATTACTCCCGTGTTACAAGTTGATATTAAAACAAGTATCTCAGTGCCTTTATAGAACGGCAGTATTTGTGCCCTACCACAGTCCGAGTTTTATTTTTACCATTTATCCATCTCAAATAATTCATAAAAGCCTAATATGGAAATAAATGGAAATTGTCAAAAGCATAAAATGCAAACTGTGATTGTGTGTTATGACTAAAGTTTGAAAGCCAAGACAATGATTATAAAATTGCATCGTGCACCTCTCTGACTGTTCTTTTAAATCGCAGTTGCAGACCACATTTCAAGTTGTAAAAAACAGCACAATTACAAGTTGTAATAGATAACAGTTCATACTTTTTTAATTGAGCAAGGATATAAAGAAATTGACAAACGAGAAGATGGAAGGGGCTTCCGAAGTCGATAAGCGTGAGCGAAGACGCGGGGATAAAGAAGTGTTTTGACCTTCGATGTGGTGGTTGAACCACTATCACCGTCTGGTGGGCAAAACAGTCTGGTGGACTAAGGCCTCAACATGGCTTCAGGAATAAGTGAAGTTCACGGAAAACATTAACCAAAGTAGTTGCTATAAAAGAGTTCTAAGGATGCGACTGATCCCCAGTGAGTAACTTAGAATGAATCAGAGAGCATTGGATCATGAATCAACTTAACTGCATTGCATTCCATCAAGTAATAAGGTCAGAACACGTAAAAAAAATATTAAATGATACTGCATGGGCATGTGGTGATTTTCCCCCTCCAGTTACCTGATGAATTGTTACAATTTGGGGGTCACACAAACAAATAATTTAAATATATATATATTTTTGGACACTATAGTTTTTATGTAATGTCTGTCCCATTTGACAACCACTACTACAGCTTTACAAAAGCTGATATTGCACATTAAAATTTCTGATTTAACTGTTTACTCATGGATGTTGAATTGCCTCTGTCTATTGAAATTTATTTAATTTGGCATTACTACTTTTCCGCTGCGCTGAATTTTTCCCATCAGTGTAGAGTGAAGGCGGATCAACGTGTTTTTCAGGTATAAATGTCAGCATCGGACAATGCGATTGCATTTATGATCCCTTATAATGATGAAACGGTATCCCGTTGCCTTTCTGTTTTGCTGGTCTCGATGATAAATCCCACCATCCTGTTTCTGAGCTGGTGACAATTTCAAGGCCGAGTGCAGAATGTGTGCAAGAATTGTGATGTTAATCTTGACACGCAGGCTTTCGCGACCCATATTATCTCTATATATATGTTAAAGGGAAATTTGTGATTATGTGTGTCTGTTCAAAATGTTTAGCGTACTTCCCGACCTGCAACAAACTTGAAATTTGCCATGTGGGTTAGCGCGCTGCGCTATGAACCCGGCGACCCGAGTTCGATTCCCACTCACGGCCACCACTGGTGACGATTATTTCAACCGGTCCTGGGCCTCCCCTAGGTCGACTCAGCCTGAAACAAGTAACTCTTGTGGTGTGTGAACATCGCCACTGGGGAGACAAAGGCGGCCGGGCGTGGTGAATCCAAGTCCCGGGCGAAGCCGGGTAGTAAAGCTAGTTCATAATAAAGGGTTTTGGGTGAGATCGCGTAAGTATAAATGTGTCGTAACCCTCCACCACCCAACACAGCCAGTCAGGTTTGCCACGTAAACAACGCGCCAATTAGTGACTACTTCAGCCCACCGGTGTGCTCGAGAGTAAATCCACAACATTTACAATTTGAAAACGACGTTTCGCTGATAATTACATCCATCATCATCGGGCAAATCGCCCGATTTCAACACACCGGTGGGCTGAAGTAGTAACTAATTGGCGCGTTGTTTACGTGACAAACCTTACCGGCTGTGTTGGGTGGTGAAGGGTTACGAATTACGACACCTTTATACTTACGCTATCTAACCCAAAAACCTTTTTAATGAATTAATCTTGACATACAGAGCATTCTGAATTTCTTGTTACGTGTTGCTGTTGAAGACAACTCTTTTGCTTGAAATGTCCACGATTCCTAAGAACGTGGCTTAATGTTTCACTAGATATTTTCTGCAACACTGTTTGGGCTATCCTGGGAGTTGGGATCATAAGGCACTGCCACATTTGATGTGGCTGAACTTGATCGGTGCTGATGCAGCACGGATCCCTCTTGCAAACTAGCTGGATAACTGGCTAAATTGGACTTTCTGTGTAACAAATGTACATTTATTGATTGACTAGAGTACGCCTATCCATAATAAACCTATATTACTACACCATATATGCAGCCAGCTATGGCTGCAGAGTTTGGTAGTACATGTTGTTTGCGTCGTTTATTGTGAAAATTAGGTCACAGTTCCTATGACCACTGTTTCATTGCTTTTATGGCTTTATTTTGGTGATTTTCGAAAAGTTTTTTGGTTTGGCCATGTTTGTTTGTTGTAGTACAGAGTTAGACTGATGGCCTTAATCTAAGTTGTCTTGTGGTTGTTGTTTGACTTGCATCCCACTGGGATATTTGCACAGGGTTGGTGTACAGGTGATTTTTTCTGCAATATTTTGCTGCCTTTTCTTGGATTTTCTGTTTGCACATAGTCACTTTAAGATGTTTTCTTGTTCATGTTTTTGTTTTTTGTTTGTTGCAGTTGCACCCGATTCAAGAGCCGAATGGCTCACAGGGCTATACCTAATAGATTAACTTTGAACTTTGATATTTAACACATTCCTGCGGAGGGAGCTGGTAGGAACGTTGGGTTGCTCGGTCAATGGCCAGGGTCAACGGTGGCGTGGTGTATTCCGCAAAATATGGCCGATTGTGAGGGCGGGCACAAGCCGGCGTGAGTAGGTTAAACGTTGAGTTTTAAAAGGGCACTACAGGGTGACCAGCCCCTCCCCACCCAGCCCCTCCCCACCCTCCCCACCCAGCCCCTCCCCACCCTCCCTTCCCCACCCAGCCCCACCCGCCCCACCCAGCCCCTCCCCACCCTCCCCTCCCCAGGCAGCCCTCTCCCTCCCCACCCAGCTCCTCCCTGCATGACGGACACAATAATCCCTTGTGGGCTGGTGTAAACCAGGAGGTTCCTACAAGTATTATTTGCACCCTGTATTCTTATGATGCCATGCACAGTGTCTTGAGGGACAAATAAAGCGAGATGGAAATGCCAAAACAGTGTTCTGAAATAAAGCACTCCCTATAACTTTTTTTTCTTCTTGGTTCTTTCGGTAAAGTCACGTAGAAGGGAAGTAATAAAATAATAAAAATAAAACATAATAAAATAATTCTCACGACGTTTCGGCCACAACGCAAGCAGCCGTTTTCAGGTGGAGAACAGGTCTGTCAAGTAGGCAGAGTCTGAATGGCACGCTCCAGGCTTGGAGCGACTACTTATGCTGGGATGGAGGGGCGAAGAGCGTCTTGACAAAATAATTTGCATATCAAGAGGAATTTAGCATATTTATGGGAAATGCAGATATGCGATTAGTACAGCATAGTTGGCTACGTGCGGTGCGAAAGAAGTTCGACATACACACCGCACACGCTCAACACATTCATGATACAAAGTACTCGCCGAGCGGCAACTGACACGTCTTCAACTTTGCCCAATTGCCCAGCAGAGGTCGTCCGCTGAACAGCAACGCGTTGTTTTCGCGATCTGAAATCTGCAGTCCCTGTCGTGCCTAGCTGGACGCGGGGCCGGATCGAAAGGGCACTTGCACACGCGCTCTTGTGATTGGCTCAGGCTGCCGCGCCCCCAACACTGATTGGTGGAAAGTTGCCGGACTCCCGTCACACCCTCTCGGGGAGGGGAGGGCTTTATCGTCAATCTACGAGACCAAAATACTTCACGTGTGAGCACACATATAAGGGGGAGGAGGGGGGGGGCGAAATAACATAACTGCTGTATAGGCATTCAGGATGTAGTTTTCTCAAATGTACCAGCAGATTGTTGTTGGGAATGTGTTGTATTATTACAGATGTAAAAGCCAAGTGAAAGGCTTGGGCTAGTAAAAAAGAATGTTTTATAATTTCGATTTAAAGCTTTCGTGACTGCAGGGGTTCATCTTCTTGGTTCTTTCGGTAAAGTCACGTAGAAGGGGAAAAATAAAATAATCAAAATAAAACGTAATAA